GCAAAGTGTAGGAAAAATTTGAATATGAAGACTGTTAAAATTATTTATTTGGTTGTTAAATAGGTCAACACGTAGGAAGGAACCAAAGAAGATTTTAACTGCAGCCACAGACCAGAATGGGTCACAGGTTAACTTTTATTATGGAGCACCAACACCATATGCAGAATCTATTGCTTCATCCCATCATTCAACATATGCTCACTATTATGATGATGAAGAAGATGGATGGGAAATGCCAAACTTCTATAATGAAACTTATATGAAAGGTAGCTGAAGGAAAACTGATATCTTTCAAATATAAAATCAAATGCAAGTTACCATCCAAGTATACCTCATTTATTTCCTGAGTAGACTGTATGCAAAACATTTCAAATTATGAAATTAATATTCCTACACATATGACTGGGATATCACACTAATAGTAAATCACAGTTATATGTAGATGTGAAATAAGTTTTATAGAAAATATTTATATGTGCATAATAACATGAAAAGGAAAAAGGACTGTCATATTTATTGATCTGCACATATTGTTGTAACAAGTTTTTGAGCCAGTATTTCCAAACACTTCTGAATTCTCAACAGACTTTTAAATTTTATGTTTATATTAAGATTGCTATCTTATAAGCTTTCGTTTTTCCACAGAAGTTCTAATTGCTTATTATACTCATATAATCTGTATAATCAAATGTGGTCTCCCAATCATAATCATATTACTTACTTGTGTGATTGAGTGACTTCAGGATTCTATTAAGTGGACATAAGTTTTACTGGTGGCTAATAATTTAGGACATTTCATTAAAACTATTCACCTTAACATATTTTGTGAAAGCTTTTGCCTTCAGATACGTAGAAGCAATGAAGTTCTGAACTTGTAATTATGACAGATAAGCATTAAAATTAATGGAAATTAAAAAAAAATAGAATATAACTGCAGATTCTCATCTGTAAGAACAAAAAACAGAACAAAATTCCACATCTTTCCAAAATTTAAAATTTCAGAAAGCTGTGAAGCAGCTTTGCAGTATCATTTGAATCAGATTACATTTTGAAGAATGAAACCAATTCCATTTTCCTTTAATCTAAATGAAATATTTTTCTACTCAGTGAGCTAAGAGATCTTCCTACTATAGACTTTGAACACTGAGTACTTTCTTGGCAGATATTCAGCAATACAAAAACGATAGTACACTCTACAGTGTACAGCCTTCCTGTTAGCTACCCTGCACTCTGATGGAATGACGCATGCTTCTCCAACACAAGCAAGTAAATATGCATTGTCTTTTGAAATACCCAGACACCCAGTCACCTTCATAAGAGTCTCCTCGGGAATTACCTACACACTGCAAAAATTACTAACTTTGGGTTTACATACTGATGCCAAATATGTGTAGTTTAATATTGTATCCTGGCATATCTGTAACTTAATCAGATAGGGCACATATTTGTTATCTCTGAAAACTCTAAGACCCATTAATCAGTATTTGTTTATGGATCATTTAATGAGACTGTCAGTAGCTCATGGCATATAGTATCATATGATAGGATTGGTGAAGAATGATATCGAAAGTATGTGGAAAGAAGTCATCATGGACTGAGGAAAATCATGAAAACCCTCAATAAAGATAGCTGGTCTGCAGGCCAAAATTTAATCCCAATACATCCTGAATACAAATCATGAGTGGTAACCATTTGACCATGACATTTGGTACACATTAAAATCCATATTCTTGAAATGCAACAAATTTGATTTTGTTTCATATTTTAAGGACAATAATTGGTCATTTCTGATATCTCACAGTCTACAATGGGTATCCACTGCATTTAGATGAGAAGGTCTCTACATCTTGTTCCCTTCAGTATCTCAAAATCCACACTGATGATTAGTATGTCATAATCAGGTACTCCAATGCAGCATAATACAGAACAGTGGATTTCAAACAAATATCAAGCAATTAAGTGAGCAACACCATCGAGTGTGACCAATTTGATTTAATTCCATAAAAACCTTTACATGTTTTGGTCCTAGGAGACCGTCCACAGAAGATGCATAACATGTAAGGAAGTGCCTTACAGTTATAAAGGTCAATGTTTCACCAATTCTACCACTATTTATCACATCAATGTCAAAGTATATAGCTGTGGCAAATTTGCTCAATCCAAGAACTAGAAAGCCAGCAGAGACAGCCATTGCTAGGGAATGGCTCTGCAACACATGTAATATGCAACAATGAATTGGAGAACAGTGTTCTCTACGTGGTCCGTACAATAGCTGTGTGATGCAACAAGAGAACTGTTGGTAGAGGTGTTTTCTATGTGGTACATGCCAAGGTTATATAAGGAGTCAATTGTGGTTTGTGAGCCTGGCAGTTGGACACCAGTTAGTTCAGCTCGGGAGCTGCAGCTAAAAGGTGCCAACCAGTGAGGACAGGAGCCATTGGACACACAAGCCAGGGATGCTACACTGTTGGAAGCTGCTGCAAAGCAGCACAGTGAAGACCCTGACAGAGAACACTGTTCTCTGTATGATAGTGATTATTACAATGTAGTCATGAGCTTTGTACTAAGGGCCCAGTAAATCTGACTACCATTTAAACCCCATCTATAGTCACACGCTGTCATGTAACAATATTTTAAAAGACAGTTTTTTTTTAAATATTTGACTCATACTGCATATTCATCTTAGAAGCTGTGTATGGAGCCTTCCCATATTAATCCTCCATGTACATATATACATACGATGGGGTACCCAAAAGAAACTGAACTAATTTTTTTGTGGGCAGAGCTTTTGTAGTACCGCGTTTTGCCGCTATGAGCGCATAGAGCTAACATTCCTGAGTCGATAAGCTGACTACCGTTGCTTCAGAAGGTAAGGACTAGTTTCGGCAGAGTTTATAGTGACAACTGTTTTGTGTGATCGTCGTTTTTGATATTGACAGAATATCCTTTGTCTTCATACAGCATGTGTAGTGACTGGTGTGTTATGTTTGAATGATTGACCTTAGTAACTGTAAAGAATTTCCTTAACTGTTGAGCACTGTCTGATGATGGACTCCAGGGTCTGAAACATATAAAGGTTTTTATGTAATTAAACAAAATTGGTCACACTCTGTTGTGTTTATGTTCACTTAACATCAAATAGTAATTTGGACCCAAATGCCTTCTATTAAAAATAGATGTTAAGGATGTTTAATATTTTATTTACCTTCGTTGTATCAAAGGAAAATCCTTTTCTCATGAGGCATGCCTTTAGCTAGCTGAACATCCAATATTTCATTATGTCATTAATATATTCTGTTTCTAATTCACAGGAATTGACACCATTTGTGTCAAAATTGTTTCTCAAGGCCTCAAAGAATGTTAGATACATATTTATAATTTAATCATCCACATCTAAGGGTCAGTTTGGTTCCTGGAATTCTGTTGAAGGTTCCAAAAAATATTAGAATATTCATAGTCTCATCCAAGCAGCCATACTTACTTTCCTGTTCCCTGAGGCATCAGAATGAGACAAATATTTACTGACACTTCAAGAATGCCCCTACTTACATCATCAGCTGTTTCATAAAACCTACACTCCCAAAATATCATTATTTTATTACTTTTTATTAAAAAAATCTTAATATAACGGTAATAACTATTTGTGTCAAGAATGTTTCTTTGGGCATCAAAGAATATATAAGGAATGTATTTGTAATCAAATATTCCACTTGGGGTGGGGGGCAGGGTGTTACCTCCTGACTTTCTGCTGATAGTTGCATAATTCTTGGAATGTTCACACAGTAGTGCTCTCCAAGCAGCTCTTTGTACTTCATTGTGTCACAAAGCATAAAAATGAGAAAGAAATATCTAATGAAATTTCAAGGATACCTCTGCTTTTATCATCAACCCTTTCATAAAAAATACATGCCCTAAACTTCGTTATTTTGTATAGATATTATTATTAAAACAGTAATGCTAAAATAACAGTAACAACAGTAATTACAATAAAGACTGTGTATGTCTAAAATGTTTCTCTAGGCATCAAACAATATCAGAGATTTACTTTCAAATTAGTCATCCAATTGTAAGGGGATATTTTGCTTTTTGATATTTCATTGAGGACTGCAGAAATCTTGGAATATTTATAATTTTCTCCATACAGCAGCCATTTTTACTTTGCTGTCCAATGACAAGTCAAAATGTGACAGACATATCGAATAATGCTTCTAGAATGCCTCTGTTTATCTTACCAACCTAGTTAGAAAATCCACACTCCTTAAACTACAGACCCATTTCAAGGTACTATTCTGGTATCTTCCCAGAGAATGTGAAGAAAACCATGAAAATCCTAAGTTACTTAGATTGGCTGGTATCCATTCTGATATTCAAACCAAGCACCTCCACAATGTATTTTATTCATTCTGTGTTATACAACAGCTGAAGAAAATGTAATTCATTGGTAGTCTAATTACTCATTGTCACGTTATACCACAGTTATCCCGTTTGGGCCAGGAGTATGAAGTGAACACTATCTGAATCTTACGTGCAGAATAGGGTAGCATAAACAGACTATGAAATAATATGTGTTAGGACATTTTTGTTTTCGTTTCACAGCCATTATGTGAACATCAACAAAAATTTCACAGAATGGAATTTATTTGCTGGCCAGTGTAAGGAATAAAAAAAAAAAAACAAGTACTGCACGTTGAATGCGACTAAGGGAATGAATAGTTACTAAAGGATTCTGACGATGGTGTATAACACACAGAGATATTGGGTTTTTGGACTTTATCCATTGGTCTGGTTTTTAAGATAACTAATAAAAACACGACGTTTCGGAAACTGGATCTGTTTCCGTCCTCAGGTGAGGGAAAACACCTATTCTGTTGGGTCCCTTAGAAAGAGCTATCCTCAATCACTGGTCCAGTGTTTTTCTTAGTTATCTTAAAAACCAGGACGATGGATAAAGTCCGAAAACCCAATATCTCTGTAAGGGAATGAAGCTGAGTTGCTGAGTGGAAAATGGATGAGAGGATGTAATATTCTAATAAACAAAATTCCCAAAGTTCAAAAAGTAAAAAATAACAGGACAAAGATATTTAATGCATTTTTTTCCCACTTCTAATTCTGATAATTTATGACAGAAAATACAAAAAAATCAGTGACAGTATTCAGCGTTTGGGTTTCTCAGAATGGGAATTTGTAAATATTTTATTTTTTAGCTGAGCTATTCAAAAGGGTGTCACTAGGATGAGTGGGTAGCAACATTTTGTTTCTGCAGGCCATAGTTACAAGAAACTGCCAAAAGAAAGGCATTTTACATCAAAATAAATATTTATATACTACTATGTGACCATTGATAAACAAGTTCACTCTGTCCAACCCATGAATGTTTCTCAACATAGCAAATGCTGGTATGATGCATTAACATTGTTTTTATATCTACTGTAAAGACTGACTCACATATCATAAACAGCAACCAAAAAACTAATATTAAGTGTGAATGAAGTTGAAGTAATTACATAGAAAGTAAACAAAACTGCATATCAAATACTGACTGCTCAAAAATTTACTACATGGATAAATGGATTCATTCTCAAAATTCAGGTTTTTGTTTTAAGATAATATCACAACATTTGCATTGAATACATGCTATATTGCAGTGTGCTACAGAATCGAGCAAAAATTTTAAAAACTGCCCAGTCATAAATTCATTCACTGAGCCCTTCTTGAGAAGCTGCCAATTGTGCAGCTACTCAAGAACTTCCAAACATTTAATGGGACCCAAGGTTCATTGCCATGTTCACAAGAACCCTCCACTGGACCCTATCCTGAATCAGATCAATCCAATCCACACCATCCCATCCTGTCTCTCTTAAGATCCATTTTAATATTGACCACCCACCTACAACTTGGTCTTACCAGTGGTCTCTTTCCATCTGGCTTTCCCACCAATATCCTATATGCATTCCTCTCCTCCCTCATTTGTGCTATGTGCCCTGCTAATCTCATCCTCTTTTTCTTGATTATTCTGATTATACTTGGAGAAGACTACAAGTTATGAAGCTCCTCATTATGCAGTTTTCTCCAACCTCCTGTCACTTCATCCCTCTTCGGTCCAAATATTCTCCTCAACACCCTGTTCTCAAACACCCTCAGTCTATGTTCCTCCCTTAATGTCAGAGACCAAGTTTCACACCCATACAGAACCACAGGCATAATTATAGTTTTGTATATTCTAATTTTTATGTTGCTGGACAGCAGACGAGAAAGCAAAAGGTTCTGGACTGAATGGTAGCAAGCATTACCCGAGTTCAATCTCCTCTTAATTTCCTCCTGAATGAGGTTTTGATCCATTATCATTGTTCCCAAATATCTGAACTGTGCCACATTTTTGAAGCATCTGTTACCTGGCTTTATGTCATGATTTTGCCCTGCATTTTGGTGACAAGACAGTAACATATACTTAGTTTTCTCTTTGTTTACTTCTAAACGAACCTCCTTGTGTCAATTAAAGTTTGTATGTTTCTCTTTATGATATCTATATTATCACCCAGTAGATTCACATCATCAGTGTAGACAAACAGCTGATGTGTCCCATTTAATTTCAGTCCCACCTGGTTTTCCTGGACCTTCCTAATGGCATATCCTAATGAAAATTTGAAAAGGAGTGGTGATAAAGCATTTCCTTGTTATAGACCATTCTGAATATGAAATAATCAGACAAATGTTTATCTGCACTTTACTATACATTTAGTTTAAACACATTTTAATCAGCCTAACTAGTTTCATGGGTACCCCAAACTCTATCAGAATATTGTACAATACTTCCCTCCTAACTGAATCGTAGGCTTTCTTCAAGTCTATGAATAGCTGATGTACTCCCTCTTTTTCTCCAGTATCTGACGACTGCAAAAGATCTGATCAATAGTTGATCTGTTACATCAGAATCCACACAGATGATCCCCAATAATATAATCTATGCATGGACTTAACCTTGAGAGAAGAAAATTGGCTAAAATTTTGTATGAAGTTGATAGCAGTGATATCCCCTGATAATTACTACAGTCAGTTATAGCAACCTTCTTTTGACTGGTACAATAATAGACTCCTTCCACTGATCAGACAATTTTTCCTTATTTCAAATAGAGTTAATTAGCTTATGGATCTTAGAATGTAATATTTACCTCTTGTTTGAATCAGTTCTGCCGGAATTTGATCACTACCTGACAATTCATATTGCAACTTTGCAATAGCAGTTTCAACCTTAAAAGGACTAGGATCATGTACTAACGGCTCCGCTATATGGATTTCTGTCTGCCTAACATCACTGACCCTATGTACATTCAATAACTGAGAGAAGTAGTTCTTCCATGTATTCAAAATGTTATGAGAACCTGCAAGCAGATCACCATTCTCATCCTTCACTAAGTTATTTCTAGGTTGGTAACCCTTCTTAAAGTAATTTATTCCTCTACAAAGAGTCATGAATTAGTACAAGCAAAATTAAATGCACTACACTGTTAAGGTATGAAACTGAAACTTCCTTTCAACTCTCTTGTTAAAGGAACTTCTTTCATTCCTGACAAAAAGCATATCATATGTTTCACTGTCTGCATATCAGTGATTATAAACATTTACCCAGCAATCCTATTCATGCTCTAATTGCAATATAGTCATAGTCTTAGTACTGTGCTATAGCAATCCTCTTCAGTAGGTGTATCTTTTTTATGCCTGTATATTTGAAATGATTTTTTCTAGATACTGTTTCACATAAGAGTAATGAATGTTGATCATATCAAAACTACTTTATGATGTAGAGTAGGTGCTATACACGCACATGCACACACACAAAATACAGTGCAAGCTGAATGAAATTACAGTTGCGTATAGTTTTCTGAAATTGAAATGTCTTCCATGTATATTACTGTATATCCATTAGAGGAAAGTTAAAAAGTTGGTACAAAGACACATGTGAGTGGCTTCAATTATGTTACCTTAGAAATGAAACTAACTGTTGTTTTGTACACCATTGATGGTCACTGATTGTAGAAGCTAGAACATGAATGCCTCACATAAGAGATTTTAATTATTTCATGTATGCCTGAGGGATCACAACTTTCTACTTTCCTGAAATAAATATTTCACAAAAATTTACTGTACTTTTATACATGGTAGAAGAATTACAGCCTTGTTTTTGGGGGGCCTGTTGCCTCTGTGGATGATTAAAATTTAGTCAGTATCAGCACAAGCCATTTTGCAGAAAATGATATTTCACATCTGGACCCCTAGTATGCATATTGCTATTTTCATGACAATACTACCTATGGAGTTTTATTTAGGGTAGTGACTTCCACAGAGTACTAAAATTTTGTCAAAATCAAGGACACTGTTTTTGAGAAAATCAGTTTGCTTTCTGGGACCAATCTGAAGGGCCCCTGTTTTTTTGAAGTTGGAATGTTCATATTCATTGGCTGCTCACCTATGATGGATAAAATATACCATATAAAAGTCTGGTAGTCAGACTATCATCCATTAATTATTACATTTACCAAAACTTTTTTTTTTCTGTATTATAGAGAGCCTACATAATGGAGGAAAAATGAACAGTCTAGCCCGCTCCAATGCAAGTATCTATGGCAACAAGGAAGATCTCTATGACAGACTTAAACGTCATGCTTACCCAGGCAAGAAAGGTGATGTAACAGCTTCATATAACTAGATTTATGCCATCAGCAATGGCTCAGCTAGCTGAGATATTATCTACATTTTATGGAATCCAAAAGTTCATGACTGTTCACAAGAACCCACAACTGAACTCTATCCTGAACCAAATTTATCCAGTCCACCTCATAACAACTATTTATTGAAGAACCATTTTAATAGTATCTATGTTAAGTCTTCCAACTGGTCTCTCCACTTCAGGTTTGCCAACTAGAATTTTGTCTGCATTTTTCATCTGTACCATGTCTATACGTAAGAAGATGCTGGATGACCTTGGGGACAGAAGAGGATACTGTCATTTGAGGAGAAAGCTCTAGATCGCATTAAGTGGAGGAATTGTTTTGGAAGAGACTGTGAACCTGTCGTCTGACAGATTACTGATGATGATGATGACCATGTCTTACTCATTTCATCTTCCCTGTTTTTTTTAATGCTAGTGGGGTGGGACTAAGTCCCTTGTACTGCAGCCAATTCTGGCCTATTGTACCAGCCCCAGATGATAGGTGAGGGTGATTGTGGAGCAATTGGTGGAATGAAGATTAGCAGGGGAAACCGAAGTACTTGGAGAAAACCTGCCCCAGCACCACTTTGTCCACCACAAATTCCACTTGACCAGACCTGGGATTGAACCCGGGCCACCGCAGTGGGAAGTCAGCGACTAACCGCTTGAGCTATGGTGTGGCCAATCTTCCCTCTTTTGGTCACCCTAATAATATCTGGCAAATGGAACAAATTACGAAGTTCTTCATTATGCAGTTTTTACCAGCCTCCTATAATTACCTCTACCTTAGTCCAAATATTATTCTCAGCACTCTACATGTATGTCCTTCTCTTAAGGCGAAAGATCAAACTTCACGTCCCTACAAAATGTCAGGCAAAGATTTAGATTTATATATTTTAACCTTCACATTTCTAGACAGAAGGGAGGAAAACAAAGGATTCTGAAGTGAATGATAATAAGAATTCTATGAATGTACTCTCCATATTTCTTTGAGCATATAATTTCCCAAACATTTTAACTTTGCCAAAGCTTTATTAGCTGTATTTATATTATGATTTTGTTCTGCATTCTGGTGATATGTCATGATAATATATAGTAAATTGTCAGTTATCTGGAACCCAAGCATCCAGAATTCTCATGGAACCAACAAAAATTCCGAAGAAAATTGAACATTTTATGAAGTTACTTCAGAAACAAAATATATTCACCCATCATGTGATAGTTCTACCAGGTGACATTAGAAGTGCTGTCATCTCCCCTAATGCAGATGCCATTATAGTCATAGTAATGCTTGACTATAATAAAGGTTAGTTAAGAGTATGTAAAAAAATTTTCATCCCTCAATTCACCATGTCACCTAAGAAGACATTCATGCAAGAACTAACGTGAAAACATGATTTTTTGACTTTGAAATGAAAAACTGAAACAGTGAAATGCTGGAAAAAGGTGAAAATCAAACAAAAATTCAGTTCTGTAGAGGTTAGCCTCATGAAGCTAGAAGATTCAGATAACTGGGAATTTACTGTACTTAGTTTTCTCTTTCCTATAATCATTTTACGCCCCTTCGGGATAGTGTAGTTGATATAGCAACTAGCTATGGGCTGGATGACCAAGGGGTCAGAGTTTGATTTCTGGTAGGGTGAAGAATTTTCACTTCTCCAGATCATCCAAACTGGCTCTGGGGTCCACTCAGCCTCCTATCCAGTGGGTACCAGGGGCTCTTTCACCAGGGGTAAAGTGGCAGGGGTGTGAAGCTGACCACTCACCTCCATCTAGTGCCTAGGTCAAGAAACTGTGGGTCTATACATCCACTTCCCCACATGGCTTCATGGCGTAGTGCTTAATTAGTTAAGCACAGGGGACAACTTTACCTTTATACCCATTTTCAAGGTGTGAACCAATGTGAATAAATCTCTTGTAGAGGAAAATGTGATAAAATAGCTAATTTCATCTGCAATTATTGCGTTTTCAGACATTATCCATCGTCTAGGTGTTTTAAAAACTTTTTGGATACAGAATCCAGTTTCTGAAACATTTTTTTAAATAAAAAATAGGGGAATGGTTAATGTTCAAAAACACAATAACTGTATTAATATACCATTTTCATTAACATTTAGATCTGATCTCATCTATTTTGGTCAACTCAGCCACATTACACAATGCCCTAACCTATTGTAGGAAACAAAATTTTGACTAGTGAATTCATGTTATTAATACATAAACCTGTATTGTAAGTAAACTGATCATACAGTTGAAATAGCTTGTAATGTTAATAATAATTCTGGAAACGAAATCTTAAATTTACTAACTTAATGGTAAATGCCTGTTTATTTTCAGATAAAAGTGATAGTGACAGTGAAGGCCAGTGAGATCTTTGAGAAAACTAAAGATGACAAGAATCTTTAATCTGGTCATTAAAATGCTCAAGCAACTGTATTTTAAGATATGGACAATACGTGGACACTATAATTGGAATGCTATGTACAGCACCATTACAATTAGGCTGATTGCAAAAATTGAGTTTTTTAGGGCCTGTTTGGACCAGTCAGTCAACAGTGTTCAAGAATGTGTAGTGAAAACTCTGTCTTTGCAGTCCGTCTGCATGGAAGCTCTATTGTAAATGAAAATTAAGAGAAACTGTACTACTGCTATTGCTTTATGTCTAATATATCACTTACATAAAAATATTTTGATATCTCATCTTATTATTTGTATAGGTATCATTTGTGTCAATATTGTAGTTTTAATATTTAATTGAGAATTTTTTACTCTTAAGTAAACCTGTATGTATGTGAAAGAACGTATGACTGAGATTTGTAAACAAGATTTTGCATAAAAGTGAGTGGTATGTTATATAAATGTTGTCATCCATGATGGGATTTTTGTGAAAAAGGAAGGTGTATCATACTCTTAAGCACAAAGTTTTAAACAAACTGTCAAGACCAACAGTGTGATGAGTAACTAATTTTGAAAATGTAGCTGTACCATAAGGAACACATTTCATGAAGATGGTTCTAGAAGCAAGTAGAACTCATTATATATTACCAAATGCTTGAAAAGAAATGGGATGCCATTTCACCTGTTTGTAAATGGATCTGGAACTGTGGTGCTTACTACAGTATACTCTTGATTATCTTTGTGTGGATTATTTAGTTTATGGAATATTATTGTACATTTTTCTTTTGATTTGTATTACTTACTGAATTTATTAAGAACTAATACAGTACATGCTATATACACAGGTACCATGACTTCCATACATCCCATCTTGTGTTTTACTTGTCAGTTTCATCGTGTCATTCACATGCCACAGACTGTTATTGCGGGATGTGGTGAGTTTGGAAAGTGGAGGAAGAAGTAAATATCAGACCTCCCCTTCCATGGCATTAAAATGTGTTACTATTGCAGTTATAATCACTTAAATTATGACTACAAAATTGTAGCTGCTAATAGATAATAATGAAGGTACCTTGCCTGGAACAAATCTGCAATACAAAACTGCACATTAACTTTCCATATCTGTTTACCTGTCCATCTGTCAGTGTGCTTGCATGAAGCTGAGAATTAGGGAACTACATTAATACATTCATAGACTGGTTAAAATGAGACAATATCCTGCTTTTCTGTACTCATCTTGAGCATAATTTGCTAAATATTTATTGAGCAAGAAATGTTTTAGACAGAAGCTGTACTGAAAAATGAAACACACATGAAAGGAAGCAAACACACTAGAATTGTTATGCTATGCATACGTTTCCTAAATTTTTTAGACTATTCATGCTTCAGTTCCCATTCATTTGCAGAGATAATTATGAGTATACTGTGTATTAGGATGAAACACATTGGCCTATTCTGAAATCATGAGCAACTGATCTTTCTCTCTCTTCTGCTTCAGGTACTGATTTAGCCAGAGTGTGTATGTGGCATACATTTGCTATTCATGAAGCAAAGAATAAAACTTGTTCATGAATAAAGAACCTGCACTTAAATATTAGAAAATTATTAAATTGCATATTTTGTGAGGCTTCAAAATATATCAGTTCTTAATTTGGTTCTTGACATCTGTTAGAATGTACAGAATTACTTTTGTTTCATACTCTTGACTGTTGTTTTATAAATGCTCACAATATGTATGACATTCTACATTTCTCCACAATTTTCAAAATGTTACTCATAATGTCACCACAGTGAAGTAGTATCTCCGTCTCAGAATATTGTTATAGATAGCTATTATTTCTAATACAAAAATGTCAATGGAAAGTTTTTATGTAATATCATTAATGACAACACATTTTTTTCTAAAATGAAAATCACAGAGTTTACTGATTCATTTCTTCCTGTTCCATCCTTCAGCTCTCATCATTAAGGTATGTATTGTCATGAGTATGAATGTGACTATAGATTGGGTTTGGATTGGAGACTGGATTTCTTTACCATTTTAACACATGATTCGTGACTACGCTTAATTATAGTGCCATTGCTAATTTCCACACTTCACAAATCACTACAGCACACAGTAAGTCTTTTCAGTCTGCTGTGCTTTCACCAGTTGTTCCCTGGTAATGGCTTCTAACAGTAGAGATTCAACAACTGCAGTGACCAAGTTTTCTCTTCACAGACTCCCTTACAACTTTGTGCCAACTCACTGTTACAACTGATTATCTTCTAAATTTGTCTCAGCTATAACATCTCAGCACAGAATGTGTAGAAAACATCGTTCATCATTGTATCCCAGTTGTTTCTGTGGAATGTGCATTTTTATGAAGGCATTACTCACCAATGGCTGCATATACTTGCTTATTAAGAATCTGTTCCTTAGCAGCAGATGTTGCTTTGTTCTTTGTTTTGAGGTTGCTACCCAGTAACGGGTCTAGCTGCTACAGTATGAAGCAAGTCTCTTGGCAACACCCAAGGAACTGAACCAACTTCCACCTCATTATTCAATTTTGTGGGAAAATAAACAATTATCTATTTTCTAAGAAAATATTTGTTTCTGAAACAACAATATATAACAGTGAGATATCCAATGAAACATGTTTGAATGATAAACTGATATTTTATTTGATGGTGATTGAAATTTGTATCAAACAGGGCCATCTGAACTGATAATATGGATTTCACAGTAAGCCACTGAAAACTTAAAGCCATAGAGGCTAAGTTGGTGTAGAAGTCATACACAATTTCTGATCTTGTTTCTAGTTCTTAAATGATTGGTTACTACCTACAAACCTTGAGGGTAAATCATTCAAAACCTATATCCAAACTGTTCAGTACCAAACCACATCAGGCAGTTCTAAATTCTTGCAAACCATTTAAATAAAATCTTTTAAATACATGGAAAATGTTAAAAAATATTTTTCTTTTTATGTGTAAGTTGTGTTAAATACTGTGCTGAAAACTGTCAAGTTCTAGTCAAGGTTTATTTCTGATTTTTAATTGTAGTATATAACTTTATAGCAGCTTTCAACAATTCAAATTCGAATATTGTGTACAAAATTAGAGATAAAAAAATTGTAGGATATGTCTGTTTAACCTTTAAACGTCGGACTTCGGAAATGGTGGTAATCTTGAGCTGGCCGGAGTTTATTTAAATGCCTGCTGCTGGTGCACGTTTAACTGCCTGTTGCTACTCTGGGTTTAAATGTCCATTCCTCTTAGGGCGCTTAAACAATTTTAAGCGTTGTGTTTAAAAATGCTGTATCTAACTCAATTTTTGTGATAAATGGATGGAATTAACTTTGTGTGTATCAGCAAAAAACATACTGTCGCGTATTACAATGGAAGATTTGAAAATTTGTATACAAAGTGTTATACCCTGTTTTATTTTATTTTCTTTTAATTTTGATGCGTACTGCAAAAATGATTTCCCAGTTCTTCCCATAGTTGTTCTGCACTATAAATGAATTTCTGTTTGTAACACTTGACAAATTTTAGCAGTCCCTGGTGTCATAAAACAGATGGAAGCAATAAAATCATTTGGTCTTCTGCTAGCACTGCTTACACCCTTCAGATTTTCGAATCTTTTACTAAAGGACAGAAGAATGAAAGAATGGCTATTCAAGAGAAAGCTAGAGGGGTCCCTTCTTCAGTGCTAAGACCTTCCGTTATAGCTGCAAGATATTATTGCCCTTTCTAGGGTCGTGAACAAGCAGTTGCTTCGTGGCTGAGATACAAAGTGTGGTCTGTTTTCTGTGCAGTGATAGTGAAATTGAATACTGTAGTTTCATTCCATCTTACCATGGCAATGAAACGTCGTTTGGAAAATTATGAAATTGAAAGGCGACTGATATTTGATTCTGATTTGGACTGCTGCACAGAAGATGAAGATAATGATTGGGGCTACGAAGATGAGGATGATGAAGAACTCGTGCAGCCACCGCCATTATCACTATCATCATTGTCGTCATCACCGCACCATCAGAAGGGGTGCGAATAATTTTTCTGGTGGAGCAGTGGCGATAAATCTAAATGAAGCTCCACATGTGAATAAGGATTCCACTCCACTCTGCATGTTCATGTTATTCTTCACAGGAATTATCCATCTGCTGCTGGTGGAAGAGACTAACAGATATTATCACCAATATCTCGACAGCCTTGAAGGCGGACCTTCTCCACTCCCTGACATTACTGATTCCGAAATGTTTCTTTTTTTAGGAATCATTATTCAAATCGGCCATGACATTAGAGACAGAATAAGAGACTACTGGACGACTGCTGAGCAATTTCTCACGTCTTTCTACGGTAAGACATTGAAACGTGACCGATTTCTTCATATTCTTTGCTTCCTTCACTTTACAGATAACAATGCAGGAACTGACAGACAAGCCATCAATTATGACCGACTATGGAAAATTCGGACTATTTTTGACACTCTAAATGACGGATATGAAAAATATTATAATCCTTTGGAGCATCTGGCTGTTGACGAAATAATTGTAAAATTCAAAGGGAGGGTTATTTTCAGACAATACATTCCTAAGAAACACAAACGTTTCGGAATCAAAATCTTCAAGCTCTGTGATTCAGCAGGCTATACATACGACATGAAGGTTTACTTAGGTAAAGACAGAACACACGCTGACCAAGAAGTGACAGCGACACATGCAATGGTCAGGGACCTCTGCAAAAGAGTCAAGGGGCTTGGGCACAAACTGTACTTGGACAATTTCGTTTCACCGCCAGACTTGTTTGACGAACTGTTTGCAAAGAAAATAAGCTGCTGCAGGACAGTCAGACCAAATCGGAAGGGCCTACCACAAGACATATGAAACAGGAGACTTGGAATGAAGAAAGGAGACATACGGGTTAAGGTGAGGGGTGACATGACAGTATTGGTTTGGAAAGACAAATGAGATGTATATATGTTGACTAATATGCACGCTCCTCCAGCAGAGGGCAATTTCTGTGATGAACACAGAAATGCCATAAAGCCTGCAATTGTTGCGGATTACAACATGCACATGGGATATGTTGACAAAGCGGCCAGGATGACAAACAGTTATTCCATCAGCCGTCGGACTTGGAAATGGACGAAGAAACTATTCTTCCATTTACTAGATCTGACGATTCTGAACAGTTTCATTGTGCTGTCATCCTGTGGTGCGAAAATATCACATAGAGACTTTCGTCTAACCCTTGTGCGCAACATGCTGGAGAATGCTGCAACATGTCGCCCTCGCCCCCAGGGGCCCTTAGGTCGACCTCCTGCTCTTTCATCTACAATATATCGCCTAGAGGAGGCCAATCGACAACACTGGCCAAACCATTCAGACAAGAGACTGAACTGCCGCGTCTGTTCTGCACGTGGGAAGAGGAGAAGAATACACACAAAGTGCGAGAAATGTGACGTGGGCCTGTGCATTCTCAGATGCTTCAAAGAATATCACACAAAGCCGAGATTTAGTTAGATGATGCAGGGGACGGAGCAGATAACAACAAAAAAGGTATGTACATCGAATTTTACTATATATTTTCAACATATTTATCTGCAGAATCTGCAATAAAATTACTGGCTCGTGGATGAGGTTCGGCGTAACTCATACGTATAATCGTTTTGTTGTTGTTCACTTATGTATCATTATTATTCCTCTATTAGGATTTTACTCAAGTCGGTCTGGTAATTACTACATTTAAAAATAAATATTTAGGACTGTGCATGCGCTTATACTAGCGGCGTGTGCGCGCGCTTCCACTAGCGGAGTCTAAATGCCTGACTGGCCAAAACGGGGTACTTTGGCCACGACGGCCACGACGACCCTATTCTTGACCTTCATGACGTTTATGACTGACACAAACGGGGCACTTCGGCACTTAAAGGTTAATTATCTAATTCTCGCTATGATAATTAGCTCTCGGAACAACTACTGGCACAAATCAGACACAAGCCTATTGCAAGTTTTATTACAATGTAAAATGAAGAATGTTGTGATCTATACAAGTAACCTATTAGCCCTATTAGGGTATTTAAACCAAGGTGGTAATGAGCGGTTATGAACGTCATCATGAACTGGTATGCGTGTACCCCACGTGCTAGCCCTGGTAGGTCGCATTAGGTGAAATTTTCATTGAAGCTATGACATTTAAAATTCGAACCCGCGATCCCGCGATCGCCTGCGTTCTCAATGTCCTCAATGGGCCAGCAGGATAAGATCGATTACACATGACTAATATTAAAGCCTTTATCTGCATTGTAAGATAATTCATACTTCGTTCCTTATCAAGCATTGACGTGGTAAATTGTAAGGTCACATGCTTTGATTGGACTGCATTGCAAATAGGACACTATTTTGTTAGCATAACGACTTACGTCTTAAGTGGGAAGTCATCGTTTGCAAATACAAGTTACAGCGTAGTGGAAATGTGGTGGAAGAGTGCAATCCCTCATCATCTGCCGTTTTCAGAAGGTTATATTTATTTTCTGTTGTAAAAATACGTTACTTCTTAGCAGTTCTTGACGCTAACATACTTCTGTGTTTCTGTAATACTGACATAGCTAACTGCAGACCTGCATATAATTACATAACCTTTAAAGCACGAATGTTCGTGTTTATAGAATTTGCTAGGAAGTACCCATATGTTTCGGCGCGAGTGCACGACCCATTTTTTTTCAATAATAAGCTCTAACCAGAATTTAATGATACCTCTTTTTCTGCTGGATCTCGCCATAACATATTTAACTCTGCAGTGCTTCTGCAGCATCCTTGAAACTTAATAAAACTCATAACTGTTGATCTCTGAATAGCAAAATGATTCAGGCCACTTTTTTTTTTCTTTTTATGGCACCCAAACACGTTGATGCAAACGGGAAGACGTGTTTCATTGTGAGAACTGCAATACAGGTATCACTTGATACCTAGAAACAGGAATTATTGAGTAGAAGTAGAGGTGGACATTATCAAATAACAGCTGTTCAGTAGTTTTACTATTGCAGACTATCAATTCAGATATTTAAAAATAACCAAATGAATTTATTCACATTGTACTTTGCTGTAGAATGGTCTAAAACAAGGAGATGCTTTATCGTCGCTGCTTTCCAACTTTCCTTTAAATATGCCATTAGGAAGGTCCAGGAAAAGTAGGCGGGACTGAAATTAAATTGGCACATCAGCTGTTTGTCTACGCTTGTGATTCTATTGGTGCTAACATAGATACCATGAAGAAAAAAACACAAACTTTGACTGATGCTAGTAAGTAGGTTGGTCTAGAAGTAAACACAGAGAAACATAAGTATATGTTGCTGTCTCGTCAGCAGAATGCATGGCAAAATCTTGACGTGAAGATAGCTAACAGATGCTTTGAAAATGTGGCGCAGTGCAAATATTTGGGAATGACTATAACAAATCAAAATCTGATTCAGGAGGAAATTAAAAGGAGATTTAACTCAGGTAATGCTCACTACCATTCAGTCCAGAACTTTTTGTCTTCTCGTCTGCTGTCTAAAAACATAAAATTAGAATATACAAAACTATAATTTTGCCCGTGGTTTTGTATGGGTGTGAAATTTGGTCTCTGACATAAAAGGAGGAACATAGGCTGAGGGTGTTGGAGAATAGGGTGCTGAGGAGAATACTTGGGTTGAAGAGAGCTGAAGTAATGGGAGATTGGAGAAAACATAATGAGAAGCTTCATAACTTGTATATAATTAGAATGATCAAGTCAATGAGAATGGGATGGGCAGGGTGTGTGGCATGAATGGGGTAGAAGAGGAATGCATATAGGATATTGGTGGGAAAGCCAGAGGGAAAGAGACCACTAGGAAGACCTAGATGTAGGTGGGTGGATAATATTAAAAAGGATCTTAGAGATATATGATGGGTTGATATGGACTGGATTGATCTGGCTGAGGATAGGGACCAGTGGGTAGCTCCACAGTTGGCAGCTTCTTGAGAAGGGCTCATCTTTGTGAGTGAGTGATGAGTGTACTTTGCAGTAGAAAACTAAATAATTGTATTTGCTTTATTCATTCAAGTAACACATAGGATCATATCTGATGACAGTTAATAATGAAGTATTGAATTGAGCACATCGTGCCTTAATTTTCTTCTGCATGTATGGTCTGTGATTTGTTTGCAGAGCCTATAGAGTCTATTGCACCTCTGGTACCTCTACATTTTAAATCGCATTGTCTATAGTGGGAGTTTTATTTGAGAGATGGCATCCCTTCAACAGGCACATCTTATAGGAATGAATTTAGTGGAATAGCGCATCACAGCTCTCATTAAGTACAATGTTGACTTTGGCTGGATTAGGCCTACTGGATGTTCTCTTTATGACCTGTGTTAAGCACGTGGTATTGTGAGAGGTGTCACAAGAATTTCTGTTCCTTGATGTTGTAAGTGAATTGATGAGTGAAGCAGCCAGGCAAAGGGGCAGAAAGCGAAAGATGATTCTCTCACATCAATATGTCAGTAAGAGAGTAAAACCTTTTTATGTTTGACTTGTAATCACCTGCTTATACCAATCTTATCAGAACTCTGGTCAGTCATTTAACATAAAACAGTGCTGTCATGGTAACCTTAAAGTCAGCAGTAATCTATGAGGCAACCATAAATTGAACAATTTTATGTTCAGGCATTTTCACAAGGGATTGATGGCAGTCCCAGACCAGTTTGAGTTGATCTGACAATTCTCAGATGCTTTAATTTTAGGCCTAGATGGAATACACTTCTGCTTGGAATCAGCTGCTTCTTCCAAGTCAGCTCCTTGTCTAAGTTTAACCCAAGATACCTAACTGAAGTGGATAGCTGGATTGTTTTGCTGAAGAGAGGCTGTATTGAAAGCCCCCTCTCTATGAATGGAAGCTCCTAATGCTGTTTCCTTATGTTCAACAGCACTTTCACTGTGCATTGCCACATTGTTGATTGTAGTTCCACTGCATTTTTCAGTTAGTTGTTCTGATGCAGAGGATACTCCAACATACCACCCATAATGTGCTTATCCACCAATGTCTCCATCGTCTTCAAGGGAAAGATGATAGGGTGGTATGATGATAAGCATTAGCCTCAGTGTAATCAGATTTCCTCATTCCAAGCCTTCATAGTCCATATGATAAGCAAATACTGACACCCAATGACTTACATGAATTTCAGAAATAAAACATTTATGGAATAAAATATTTTTATATGAATAAGGTCGACATCACAGAAACTGAAACAGAGCCACAGGAACATTTCAGTAATTACATGCACATACCAGACACTTGAGAAAACCACCGAAATGTACCATTAAACTACAATACATTATGAATCTTTTGAGTTTATGATTCAAGTAATTGTTTGATGTGGGTGGTTCAGGGCACTATTCAGGACCTACTCATATTGCATATAGTGACACTGCCATGTACAGCTTTGTTGCCTGCATTCATCCTGAAGGCCCTTCATTGTCCTACTACTGCCCACAGAATGATATTTGTTAGGCTGAAATGGAAAGATAATTGAAATAAATGGTACAGCCAAGAGCAGGAATAGAATGTCAGTACATCTTCCATGAAAAGATACAGAAGAGAATAACTGAACTGTTGTGGGACACATGAAGAAATAGATGGTCACTGGATAAAAGGATAGTGCATTCACATGGGTGACATGGAAATACAATGTAAACTGAAGCTATGTTTGTGAGTTTTATACTGTAATGATGTGAAATGCAGTTAAATATACACCATTGTAATCAAACAATCATAACTCAGCTGAGGACTGGAGAAACAAGCCTACATTTACACTGTACATAAGGGAAACAATGGTAGCTGTCTGCTCAAATTTTCACTTGACTATCCTTTATCAAGAAAGTGTTCTGTAACTGGAAGTTGTATGATATATTCAGGAAGAATTTTATCAGTTGTTCTCCTTTGCACTTCAAAAAAATTCATGTAAGTTGGTAGCTTCATATGTTAATACCATGTGATTCCAGTTTCATCCAGATATCTCCATTAATTTTGGAGATGCAACATTTTGTATTGTCACGTATCCAGGGTTTAGTGTGACTTAAAGGATGGGTTTTGGATTTGGTGATTGAATTCATTGGACCTTTATACAACTGGTTAAAACAGTTCACAGATCACTGATACACTGTCATCATCTTCTGACTGGACACTCCACTGGAACTATTCTGACTTCCATCTGAACTGTCAGTTCAAGTCAAAGTGAAAGTCACATTGCGACTGATGGTCAGTCAGTCAGTAAGTCTTGGTGTCTAGCTCCATTTGGGGCTCATGACCAGATATTAATTATTATCGTTTGACAGTTACGGTCTTGTTTCTTTATATTTTTCTTTATTTTTTTCAGTCAATATGTAAGTGGATTGTTTTTGGTATAAATGAATAATTTTGTTTATATCAGAAGTAATATGTTTCATAAATTGGCAGTATCTCAGAATACTTAAGAGCCTATGAAATTTATATATAAAAAAAGTAAAGCTATCTCTGTAACAGGCCATGAAGGCCCATAGGGTTGTGAGTTCCCATCGTGGTGGCCCGGGTTCGATCCCGGGTCTGGTCAAGTGGGATTTGTGGTGGACAAAGTGACACTGGGGTAGGTTTTCTCTGAGTACTTCGGTTTCCCCTGCCAATCTTCATTCCACCAAATTCTCCATCATAATCACCCGGGGCAGGCTACAATAGTACAGTCAGTGGCTGCTGTGCTNCCGGACTATCTCTTCTGGCGGTTATCCCAAGGCTGACTTCACCGGAGGCTTGATGACGTCTTTCTTCTCCGAAGACTATTCCGAGACTGACTGTCTCTCGTCAAAGCTGGGCTTTTATAACTTGCCCACTGTTAGACAACGAACCCTTTGTCATAACGGTGGAGACGTTGCATTGTAGGTTCCGCGTTTCCTACGCAATAACCCATTGTTATCGCATTGTCTCTGTGGGAACGCTTCGCGTATTCGTCACCGTGGAGATTCGATGTTCTCGATACAACGGCTCACTGTTGGAATTACAGTATCGCTATTGTTACTTCTTATGCAACGGTCTATTCTGACGTTTCCATCGAAGTTACTCCTCTGGTTTGCCGACACGTTACAATATGTTTACTTATGTTCAGGACTTGAAAAAATTTGCTAGTCTGTTCATCTGTGATGAGTGAAATTTTGAAGTTGATGAACAGAAAATTCAGTAGAACAGTTTCAGGTTAATCAGTTCAGTTATTCACATTCTTATTTTTTTCAGTCAATATGTAAGTGGATTGTTTTTGGTATAAATGAATAATTTTGTTTATATCAGAAGTAATATGTTTCATAAATTGGCAGTATCTCAGAATACTTAAGAGCCTATGAAATTTATATATAAAAAAAGTAAAGCTATCTCTGTAACAGGCCATGAAGGCCCATAGGGTTGTGAGTTCCCATCGTGGTGGCCCGGGTTCGATCCCGGGTCTGGTCAAGTGGGATTTGTGGTGGACAAAGTGAC